GGTGGGGGGAGTGGGGCGGCCGTGGGTTTGTGGTCCCCACAGCCCAAGTGGGCCCGGGAGGAAGGCATGGAGCCGTGCATGTGTGGGGGCAGACGTGTCTGCCCCCTCCCCACCATCATCACCCCAAGCTGCTCCGACAGTTTTACTCGTGCTGAGCAGCTCTTTCCCCAGGGGCATGGGGTGGGGGGAACATGCAGAGCTGGGAGCGTGGCAGCACAGGAAGAGCCGTGCTTTTCCGAGGCCTGCTACCAGTAAAGTAATGGCCAGACTGGGAATGGCCCCCAGCTCCCACCTCCCTGTGCCAGAGCAGCAGAGGGAGGGCTTACCTTGCAGAGCCTGTGGCTAAGAGAAGGGTCTCCAATGCTGCCCTGCCAGATCCTGCCTGCAAGGAAAGCGCTTCCAAAGGAAGTGAAGGATGGAGGGAAGGTGCTCCAACCTGTTGCGGGGCCAGGCTCTGCCAGACCGTGGCTCAGCAGCACAGGTGGGAGTCTGAGCCCTGTGGGTGTTCTTGCAGTGCTCCTCTGGCTCTCTTATAGATGGCTTTACTGACATCTGGCAATAAAAAAAAAAAGGGGAACTGGTTTAGAATCTTGATAATCCACCAAGTCTCCGCCCCTTTCTAGGCAGGGCTGCTGTTGCGTGGTGCTGCCATCAGACCTCCTGCGATGGCCTGGGGAGGGCCCCTTGGGTGGCTGCACTCCAAGGCCATGGGCCGTGCCCCACCGAAACAGGAGACGTGTCAGGGTGCTCAGGCAGGGGCATTTATAACTTTCTTTTTTTTTAAAATTAGGCTGATCCACCACACCTGCCCCACTTATTGCCCTCTCTGCCAGCTACCTCCTCACTCCTGGCCAGCTCACCAAAGTAAATAGTGAAGAGGGGTTGTCAGGCTCATGGAACACCAGTGACTCATCAGGTCTCTGTCGCATTAGGGCACAGGACGGCTGTGCTGATACTTGCGATGAGGTATGCTCTCAGCCTTCCATGCGCCAGCCTTGCGCCTGTCTTGCTGGCTTTTTTTCCTGTAAACCACGTGGTCATTTATCAGCTTACTTTCATGGGGAAAAAAAAATGTTTATGGGCGTATCTGTACTGCATAACTGTAAACATTTTTGCAGCAGGCACCCAATCCAGCAGTTTTAGCTGTTTGCACCAAGATGGAGGTGGCTATTGCCAGGGGACCATTAGAATAACAAAATGAGGCTCTCGGGGCCTTCCAGGAGGCTCGATGCTCCCCCCCCAACAAGTAAGGGGGGGGGCATGGGGCATGAGGGGGGTGTGTGTGTGTGTCCTGCTTTTGATGAGCAGGCTTTGCTCGGGCCCCTGGGAACGCACAGGATGTTGCTGCCGCAGGCCCAGCACAGCTGTAGGTGTGTCGCCCTCTTCCCCTGCTTCCCCTGTCTCCAGCCCTAGATCTGAGTCATCCGGCCTACTTCCCCAGGCACACAGCGTCACTAAAAGTTGTGAGGTTTTTAATCTGAGTACAAGTCTTTATTTAGTAGACCTATAAAAGAACTTTACATGAGAAGTACAAAAATATGAAATAAGCTTTGACTCTTCTTAGGTTAAAGTACTGTTTGTTTTTGGTTTTTTCAAACTTTAGAAACAAGTCACTTGCACAGTTGGCATCTTAGGTAAATTGCTGTCATACATTGCAAAACTAGGAAAAAAAGCTTGTAAAGTAGCTCCAGAAAAGTAGGTGTACGTACCCAATCATACACATTACTGTCAATAATTTATTAGTTTAAGACACAATGACACAGTCATACAAATTCCCACTTTGTAATTTTTCCTTTAATGAATTCCATTGAAAGATGCAGTATCACTTTCCTCTTCCAGTTATTATAATATGATTAAATATAAACATAAAACCCAATTAAGAATGATTTGGCATGCTTTATACTTGTACCACTTTGATTTGATACTACTTTGTAGTAAAAATTAAATAAATATAAATATGTTAAATAAATATATTGTAAAAGAACACCCCACTTATATTAGAATTCAGCATTTCTTCATCCTTCATGCACTCTTAATGCTTTGTCACAGCTTTAGGGCCAATGAAAAGAAATACTGCATCTTAAAAAACATAGGCTCACTTGGATGGAATTAGCAACCCATACAAACAGAAAATGGGGTTCCTTTACAACTTTGTCACACCCATTAAAAACACTGCCTCAAATGTCACTGTTCCCTACATCTCTCATTGTTTCCTATTTAGCTCCTTTTTCCCCAGGACTCACCTCTGGCTCTGCAACTGGCGACCCTTCTCTGTAAGATAAGGAACACTTGCTGTAAATAAATCATTAGCCTCTCTCGAGCAGCTTGCAGCTGACATCAGTGTATTTTTCTGAAGTTACTTGTGTAGATCTATTCTGATACTGTGATTTAAGTCAAGGACTGTTCAGGCTCTTCCGTGAATACTGGTTGATACTTAAACAATGAGGCTTATTTTCAAAGTAGGTAAACCTTTAACTGATTTTTCAAGTCAGTACTTTTTTAGAACTTCATGGTATCTGTCAAGTATGAAGGACTAATTTTCCAGGGTAGTACTGATTAAGCAGAAATTATACTCTCTACTCTTTTTTGGATAATCAAATGATTCCCTTTACAGTCACTGTGGTATGCCTAATGCATAACATGGCAGTAGTGCAATGGCAGGTTCTGATGATTTGCTACAACTAAGAGGCTCCTTTTGCAGATCCCAGTCCCTAGTAATTATATGATTTCAATCACTGTATTTTGATTCTTTGTAGTAAAACACATCACTTGTAAAATCATGTACAGTACAGGGATATTGGGTGACAGTTATATCCAGCCTGTGCTCTCCATTTTTACTGTCTTGAAAACTGCCTTGGAATAACTCCGTCACCAGCGTTCATTGCTTTTCTGAAGTTACCACTCGCTCCTCGGGCTCCTGATACAGCGCAGGCAGAGGTACAAGGCACTTTTTGGAAGCTTGGTTTCTTCCAAGTGAGAGAATTCAGCTCTTCGATCCCACTTTTCCCTGCTAAAGTTAGGCCTGTTTCACAGCCCTGTGCTTGGAATGTTGGTCCCAGAGAAGAAAGCTCCATCCCTCTCCTCTCAAACAGTGTCTCCTGCAAGGCTCAGCTCTGCAGAGTCCTGGTTATAGTAATGCTGAAACAGTCTTTCTTGGCAGCAGATATGCATAGCATTGTACGTATGGAGGAGCAGGTGAGGGAAACGAGCTGTAAAGTAACAAACGAAATCATCTGGGATGGAGCCCAGGGTCTCCTGCACTTCGGGAGGCAGTTCTCTGTAATGGTGCTTCTGTAAAGGAAAAAGGAATAAGGAAAAGATCACTCAGAGGGTATGTGTTCCAGGATCCTCTTTTAAATAGAGCTCTCTGTCCAAGGTGCACTTTCATGGTCAAAGTAACCTCATATTAGTCTATCATAAAGCAGCTCAATACCTAAAACAAGGTAAGAAAGACAGACATGGACTGGCTGTGGAATAATTACCAGAATGATCATAATACAGCATTGTTTGCACATTAAGGAAAGGTTTCTAGGGTAGAATACAGCTGCAGCTGGTATGTGAAGAATCCGCTACATCTGCGATTTCCTGTACAATATCGCATGCAAAGCAACATGGGGGTGGAGCAGGGTGGAGATTCTAGGGCCAAACCCTGTGATTATACAGCAGATACAGGAACAAGATGGTCCTATGGAACCGATAAGCTGCATACTTACTACCCTGAGCCAACAGTTTTTCAAATTTTGACAAAATGCTGTACTTTGTGCGAACTTCTCTCATTATCATGTCATTGTAATACCTAAACACACCTCCATCGCAAAGGCTACCCGCCTCCAAGGTGCGACCACTCCTCTTTGAGTCTGCACCCTGAATTTTTCGTAAACTGTACCTTTAAATGTGAAGTGAGAGAATTTTACACCAATCACAATGAAGGTATTTATGACGGGAGTCACTCAAACTCCACCTTGAAGGTAAAAAATAGTATAAAAATAGCCCAAGAAAGGGCGAGTATTAGGGAAGACACCATCGTGAACAAGTCAAGGAGGACTCCCATCAAAGACTACCTTTGACTTCTGGGACCAGTCGACAGGCTGAGCCTTTCTTCCCCCCCCATAGGGAGGCCTTTGGGTAAGACTTAGACTATGCTAAGTCCTTCCTCAGGAAACTTAGAAAGCTCTCTAGAGGGTCTCTTTCCTACGTTTATAGCCAGGCTGTATTGTTTATAACTTTGTCACGTGTTTTATATAATTAACAAGACTTTCATACAGTCTTTGCAGACTGTATTTATCACCGGCAACCCATAAGAACCTGTGTACCTGTTGCTTAAATAAACTGCACTGTTAAAGTAGCTACTCTTTTCAGTTTCTCATTGAACATGACCAAGGAGTGGCCGTGCTAGTTCATGAGCACAACTAGACTGAAGGTGCACTCCACTGTTGGTGTATCCAGAATCGTAACAGTTTAATACATTAAACACCACTGAACTGATAGTGGTGAATTGGGCATCACTCGGAATTTAAACCCAGCCCCACCTAGCCTCCCACCTCAGTGAGGAGTGTTAGGAAACAAAGGCATTTATTTTCTGCCAAAACTGCTTTGCTTTTTAATGCAACACTGGCAACAAACAGCAAAATGAGGTAGAAGCACAGCATGCGTGTTGCTTATGGAAAGAAGTCCTTTACCTTATTTCTCATTGCCCTCAGAAGATCCCGTACTGAGCCTCCTTTATACGATCTGAATTTTCGAAGATCTACAAAAGAAATTACAAGATTTCTCTTTGTGTTTTGATGCCATTTTAGTTGCTGGCCTCAAAAGTAAGGTATGTGTGCCTACAGTCACATATCCTTATAGGTATGTTGCAATATATAAACACGCACTTTAACTTGAAGAAATACTTTGCTGACAAGTAAAGGTCATGTGCCCAGACTGAGACAGTGTTACCCTTACTTTCCTGTCCAGGCAAACTGGGAACAACAGCATGTAACTCCTTTCCACTCTGATAAAGTATCCATTACCTGTCTGAAGAGGAACAGTGATGTGTTCTCTCCAGTCCATTTTCACCACCTCTCTTCCGCCTCTTTCTAATTGCTTGACTATTGGACCATCTAAAGATTCTTTCTCTATCCGGTCACTGACATCCTGGAAGAGACATTCAGATTAATTCCAGTTTTATTTCCAAGCTTTTCCCAATAATTTAAAATTGCTGTTTCTGGCCAATTACAGCCCCGTCTGATAACGGAGTTATGATTCTACTTTAATCCATGACAAGGTGCAATACAATGGATTATGCTCAGGACTGGGGATACAGAAGTTTCTGAGACCATGAGTTGTTTTACCATCTGCCAAAGCCTTTTAATCACAGAGTACAAGGAAAGGCTGGAAAGAACCTCAGGTCCTCAGCCAGTTCCCACTCCAGATAGGATTAAGTGTGCGTATTCACTACAGTGGGCTACCCTGTTCTTGAAAGCCTGCCTGGCAACATGTTCTCCTGCATTGTTGCTGTAGCTGCTGGAGACCTTCCTCACTCCAATCTGATAACATCACCTTCTAGCCCCGCTATAAAAGATCTTCTGTAAGACTAAACCAATTTCTTAAGAGATACCACCTGGGTATTACAGCTTTTCTTCTTCATTCCTCACAGTAAGGTTGTGGATTCCATCACCTGAAACATCACAAAGCTAGGAGAGACTGAATTTGAGACTTGAAGAATGTCTACAGGACTCTTTAGAACTGAAAGGATTAAAAAGGTCAACACAAACCTGAAAAAACTGGAGCTGTTTTTCTAAACTCCAAAAGAATGGGTGTTTTAGCACACAGCTGGCAGATGGACGTTTCTGAGGGTCCATGTTTATCATTTGCTCTATTAAATCACGAGCAAC